CTGGCAATCTTGACAGCCACTAAAAAATACTAGCTTGTCAGAACGCGCCGCAACTCCTTACCTATCTTATTTTCATTGTAAATATTCATGTACGCTGTTCATGGGCGTTTTTTACGGTTGCGATGTCGTACTTGACAGGTAAGTAGAGGTATCAATTTCTGTGAATTGGATGCACATCTGTGATCTTAAATAAAAACAAGTAAATAAGTGGCACATTTGAAGGTTACAGATTTCCACTGCTCTGTAATCAACCATTATATTTTGGTAAGCCACTTCATCTGCATGTTAATTTTATGCTCTTTAACAAATCAAAGCAGGTGAATAGTCGTTGTAATTGATTTCTCAAATTTATACATTTCTTTTCTATGCTTCGATACATATTTATGGGATTCTTTGCTGCATCATACGTAATATTTTTTATTTCTGAAACAGTGCAGCTGCAACGACTGCGGATACTCTAGTTCTCTGGAATTCTTGTCGATTAGTAAGATGTTTGTGCATCTGTTCGCCAGATATGTTTTTCAACGCATATCTTAATCATTGTATACTGTATGCTTCGTATTTCGTAATTAATGAGTCTGGGCGATGTTCCAGTTTTATGGCTTTGGACTCTTTAAAGCAAAACTAATAATAATCATACAAGACCCATTTACGCCTGCAGTGGAATCAAAACCACGTTAAGTAGTAGCAGAAATTGCAATTTTCTAATTCAGCCCGCAAATAAATCATTTCATTCTCATTACAAAGCTTTTATTCGTTGTAGCTACCTCAGAACATAGGTTTGTATTTTATTTCATTCTGTGTTTTATTAGGAACACACTACGCTAGGCTTAAAATGAATTATGAGCCTGGAAGCTCATCGATATGGAGTCGATATCGATGCGAATGAATTCAAGTTCGAGTTTATTGCACCGCGACAGCTACAAAAATACCTGCTTGTCCGCGGTACTGCACCCATTTCATTTATACAGATATATACAGTGAGGTATCGTACTTGTGTACATAAGAAAGCTAACTTTGTCTGCGACTGTTCGCTGCCTTCGGTGCAATGTTCAACATGAACAATCTGTCTAAGATTGGTTTAAAGCGTTTTACGACCCATTAAAAACGAAGCAAATGACAAATAACTAATCACATTTTTCAGAGATCCGTAGGTGTGTCCAAACTAGCGAGTTCATGTAGAGAGTTATCTTCGAGATATATTCTTGCACAGATGATCTCCTCGTTGCTCAACGTCTATTCCGCTAAGCGTACTCCGCTAGAAATCACACGTGGAATCAAAGATGGGGTAGTGTTTGCAGGTTAAGTTCACTTGCTCTTGTTACCGATCTCGAAAAACTGATTAGTAAACGTGACATCCAAGGATGTAGGTCCTGAAGTGTACGGAAGCAGCGTAGGTAATCATGAGAATGTTGAAGCTTGGTACAAACCGCTGAGAAACCTGGTTCGAAAAACCAGTATTTCGAATGCGTACCATATCAGACGGAATCTGTTCGACTTGGACACTACGCGTCATTTGCTGCCACATGCAAACGTCATTTTCGTCTGCTATAGCAACTTCTTTGGAAAATATTCAGAGCATCCAGTGCTGTAGCGCACAAACTGTTTATGATCCGAAAACATGCAGCGGCTGTGCGCTGCACGTAATGAGTGACCGATTGACCTTAACGCCACAACGATGTCATGTACTTTGAGCCTGACAAGTGTATTAAAGTCGATTATGAGTGATCAATAGAGGAAATTCCACTTCGAAGAGTTCCGCATTAAACAACAGAAAGTTATTCTGTTAAATGATTACTTTCTACAGTAATGAATATCAAACGGAAAATTTCATAAGCCATAAAACAGAGCAGTTCGAAGCGTTACGTCAATTACGTGAAGAAGCTATCTATATCTGTCAGGTGGCAAAAATGTGAGCGCACAGCACTTCACCTAAACGTGAAACTAACAGCGAGACATTTCTGAAACTAGCTTGGTGAGAACATGAAGCAACCCAAACGTTGCATACGTTAAGAAGTCTCTAGTCATAACTGCAGTTTTTCTGAATCTCGTACCTCTGTCTGACAAATCCGAACGTGCAAAGTTCATTTATTACAACAACACGGTGTATTATGAAATCTACCGTTTGACGAACTGACGGTATGCAATCTCCGTGAACGAAAAAGAATGTGAAGAGGTTGAAAAATTAGTCTATTTTCACTAGTTCAATCTGATACCGATTCACTCGGCACAAACGCACCCCGCTCTCGCAACTGCTGGCATAATGGGAGTATTTGGGCAGGCCATGGTATTTGAACAAC